ACTGGCACATAGGTCTCAAAGAAATACTGATTGTTGAATAATCAGACTCTGAATCAGTGTCTTAAACTCCTCTATATGTCATTTAGTGCCTACTACAGTAGATACTCAGGTTTCATACTAAGTGATTAACTAATATTGTTTGAATCTCTCACTTGACTCTTAAAATGTTCATAAAATGTAGGATTAGTTAACATACTATATAGCATTTGGTTTTTATGTGTTTTAAAATATGAGCCATAAAAATGGAGCATTAGAAATGGCATAAATTAAATGAAATATAGGGAAATGTTGCTGTGTTTTAAAAATGTTTCATTGGGTATTCATTTCTAGTAACTTTTCATGATGTTTCACAATATAAAATATACATTAACTCTTTTTTTCCGTAAGAAAAAGTAACCTGTCTTCCTTTGCTTGATTAAAAACCAAGCACTGCAAAACACGGAAGGGCTTTCTAATCCTCAAAGAAAGATTAAATTCTGTTCAGTGTTCTTTTACTGTTGATGTGTTTTAGCCTGGCTTTTTGAAAAATCCTTGTATCTTTTAATCAAGAATAAAATGATTTGGAGTCATCTTTATTCCTCTGAAATAGAATGTCAACATATATTTCCACAAACCATCCCTTGATTTTAGATAAAGATATTTAGACTTCTTAGATAATTTAGCCTTTAAAAATAAGGTATAAAGTTATTTTTCCTTTAAATTTACTTGACAGAAAAAAATGCTTAGGAAGTTATTTTAAAAGTGACAATTTTAGTTTTGCATGTAGTAATTGTCAAGACTGCCAGTGATAGAAACCAGAATATAACTTGAGTTTTCTCAGGTCAAAGTGATATTTATTGGTTCACTTGAACAGGCATGTTAGTGGTACACCAGACTTAAAAGTGATAGAACCATGTCTCCATCTTGCATCTCTACTTTGCTCTGTCTCTGCTTTTTATCATCCTAGTGCAGCTAGCTTGGAGTGGGAGTGTGAGGGTTGGCTTGGGTAAGTAAGGAATCCGTCAGTGATTACTAGCTGCTATGAACACACTTCATTCCAGTTTAGGGACCAAAGAGGAAAAAAGTCTTTATCTCCCTAGCTCAACTGAAGGACTTTAATGAGAGTAGAGTAGCTGATTACTGTGATTAACCCTGTTGGAGATATTTTCCCAGCTTTTTGGGTAAGAAGGTAGAGTCTGTTTTTTGAAGATGAGGAACAGGGTAGTGCTTAACTGTTCAGAGCACACAAAACTTCTGTTTGCTCAGCATAATCTATCTCTCCCACCTGTGGCCACCCGTCCCCAACGACAGCATGCCCCAAATCATACCCAGTCACTGCGTTCCTAGGCATTTGATGGCACCAATGTTCAGCACAGTTCTCTGGGTGTTATTTACTTCTGTCTATCAAGCCCAAATGTACTCCTCATAATCTTGGTGACTTAAAAGGTGAATGATGATTCTAACCAATCCAGGCACAATCAATATATATTTGAAGAAAAAACAGCTTTGTCAAAATAAAAATCACCATTTAGTAAAGAGGAACTATGTTAGTCCCTACTTGACATCTATCATATCCAGTTGTCAGGGCCAGTAAACCTTGCTTTCCTGGACGTGGCTTTCTTGGTCAGCCCGTCTGCCCCCCTGGACCCTGCCCACTAGAAGGATCTTCCCTGTTGTCCTCTGTGGTGCCTGAAAGGGACACCAGAGAGGAGGATGCCATCCTGATTTAGCAGTAACTTCATATTTATATAGGAGTATAAACTTGAGGGTTACTTTGTCAAAACTGGAGGCAAGTTTTGTTTTTGTTTTTTGTCTGTGTTTCTTGGTTTTGAATAATAGAACTCCCCCAAATCCTAGGTCTACTGTTTGTCTCTTTTACCACAGAATCAGTATCTAATGCTAAAGTCATTTTTTTCAGTCTGAATCTTTGAATCTAACCTTGCTCTTGACATTTTACCAGCAAGCTTGGGGAGTCTGCTCCTTCCCTAAATCCTTAGATTAACCTTTCTTTATAGAACAGTCTTTGGACTCTGTGGGAGAAGGCAAGGATGGGATGATCTGAGAGAATAGCATTGAAACATGTATATTATCATATGTGAAACAGATCGCCAGTCCAAGTTTGATGCGTGAGACAGGGTGCTCAGGGCCGGTACACTGGGATGACCCAGAGGGATGGAATGGGAAGGGAGGTGGGAGGGGAATTCAGGATGGGGAACACATGTAAACCCACGGCTGATTCATGTCAATGTATGGCAAAACCCACTACAATACTGCAAAGTAATTAGCCTCCAATTAAAATAAATAAATTAAAAAAATAAAAAAAGATGTATTTGTTGACTTGACCTTGAGGCCACTGAGGACAATAGGATCTGTCCACCTTCCCCCAGCCCTCATCCCAATTGGTTTTCATTTCAAATGAAGTCCCCCTCTTTTACATGCAAGGAATACTCAAGAGGAGGTAATAGTGTAGTCCCTGAAGGTCTGGTACCTCTGGAGAATTTCTCCCTGGTTCTGTTTTCTAACTGGAGGGTGGGGAGAATGACATCAGATTTTATAGCATGTAAAATGGCAGAAAGAGTGTATTGAAGATGCATAATTATGCTGGAGACCCTTTCTTGGATGCAGATGGGCAAGTTTGGAAGTTGACTTTTCACTTTCTTTCAGCCCCTGTAGAAAAGGCCAGGGGTCATTCTTGCATTTTTTTTTCCTCCCTAGTTCTTAAAAGCTACACAAAAGTTGAATCCTAAACTCAATTAAAAACAATCATGCATTCTTAATTTTCCTCCTCTATTCACCATCTACTTTTACTTTTCTCTGTTCCTCTCTCTACATAGGAATCTGTTTGAATACACTGTTTCTTAGCATCATCTTACTTTTGTCTGACTAAAGTTGTAAGATTTTCTCAGTCACTCACAATCAGCCTCTCAGATCTCCTGATTCTTCTTTTTCAATCTTAATACACACAGTTTCTGTGTATTTTGACATCTGACCCTTTCTCTGTCACCAAAACCAGCATTCCCAACTGTTCTGCTCACTCTTCTCTCTAAATCATACAATAATCATTTGCCAAAAGTTTTCACCAATTGTTTATTTTTTCCCTTCTCTAACTCATGGTGTTCATATCTGCTTAATCTTAAAAGGATAAACTGAAAATGCAACTCTCTGTTCCTAAACCTTTAGTGACCTCGTACATTTATTCAATCAATTCTACTATGTGCCAAACATCATGCTGGTTATTGTAGATAAAATGATGAATGGTGCAGAGCAATCCAGGCACCCATGGAGGATTATAGTCTATCAGGAAAAAATTGACCCAGCATTAAGGACAGGCTTATTCAGTATTTAGAGCTCTGGTATTCAGAACTCTCACCTGTATGATTATAGCTTATTTTCTTTCTCTTACTGATAAAAGCATTCATCTGACTTGTTCATCACATCTTTGTTTTTTTTTTTTTTTTAGACAAAAAAAAAAAAAGCTGTTTGTGGTGAGAGCTCAGTGGCTTTTAGTGGACTCTTCCACTAGACTCTGTGGCTTTAGATTTGGCACAGACTTTGTGTCATGATCTCATAGTCTTTAAATGGTAATAATAAAAAGTAATTACTGACATATACTGAATATTTACATTAGGCCAGCAAAAACTAATGACTAAAAGCACAGATTCTCAGTTAAATTTCTGGGTCTGAGTCCTGGCTCTGCTGTTTATTAGCTCTGAAACCTTTGTGTCTCAGTGCCTCAGCATCTTCATCTGTAAAATGGGAAGAATAATTTGAGAATGATTAAGTAAGTTAATAGGATAAAATCCATTAAAACATTACCCGGTACATTATTAGAGCCATAAACTCTTAGCAATTTGATTATTACTTTTCTAAGTAGATAGTAGGTTTCCCTGGTGGCTCAGTGGTAAAGGCCCTGCCAATGCAGGAGACATGGGTTCTATCCCTAGGTCAGGAAGATCCCCTGGAGAAAGAAATGGCAACCACTTAGAGTATTCTTGCCTGGGAAATGCCACGAACAGAGGAGCCTGGTGGGCTATAGTTCATGGGGTTGCAAAAGAGTCAGACACAACAGCAGCAAGTAGATAGTAGTGTTATCCATATTTAACCAATGAGGAAATTAAATGTCTGTCCAGGACCACACAGTTAGTGATAGAGTCTGAACTCTAATCTAGACATTCTGGCTTCAGAGCAGATACTAGTAACTACTACTCCATGAAGCCTCCATTATAACATACTGTAATACTGTAGTTAAATAATCAACATTTAACAAACTTTGAAACTATAATTCACTCTGAATATGTAAGGTGTAATTATCCATACTATAATAAGGTATGATTGAAGAAGACACTAATTCATTTCCTTTCCATACCTTGAAACCTTTTAGCTATACCAGTAATTACATTAATAAATATTTCTACATCATTATGGGCTTCCTAGGTGGCTCAGTGGTAAAGAATCTGCCTACCACTTCAGGAGATGCTGAAGACCAGGGTTCATTCCCTGGGTCAAGAAGATCTCCTGGAGTAGGAAATGGCAACCTGCTCCAGTATTCCTGCCTGAAAGATCCCATGGACAAAGGAGCCTGCTGGGCTGCAGTCCATGGGGTCACAAAGAGTTGGACGTGACTGAGTAAGCACACACTACCTCATTGTATAACTTAAACAACTCTTTTTGCATATGCAAATTCATGTAATTCTCACTATCACTTTTTGAGGTTGGCAAAGTCAGCATTATTATCTCCATTTTAAAAATGAGAATGCTGAAGATCAGAAAGTTGAGTAACTTGCTCACGCATTTAAAGACAGTAAATGAGAGTCTCTATCCTAAGTCTGAAGCCCCAGATCTTATCCTTTGCTTCACTATAATTCCATGCTGTAATTTACTGATTTCTTTCAGCAGATGGAAAACTAATTTTTATGATATAATTTACCATTATAAACATATATATATATAAATATCATAGACCCCTGTGTACAAAAACAAAACTATTTGAACTAATTTTTCTTTCCTTTCTCTTTTTAAAGATTGTGATTGCTAGCATCATGTGCAGTTACAACAGAAATGACTGGATGGAACTCTCCAGAAAGGCTGAGGTAATGATTTCTTTATATTTATTTTATTTCTTCTCTTCTATTTTTATTAGTTTTAAATAAAGAGCTGTCATGAAAAATAACCCTGTAGAAGAAAAATTGAGTGAAAAATGGTAACTTAAAACATTTCTATTACAATTTGTTTACCCTGTGTTTTCATTAAAATGATGGAAATATAAATTTAAAAGGAATCTATTCTATAAAAGTATTCCCTTAGATTTCACACACTGCCTAAAAATCCTTTATTCTTTGACTCCATATACTCTTTATTTGCATATTAAGCAAACTGTATATTATGATGGATGCCATGATAAAATTTAATTCTACCTTTGAGAGTCTAACTTGATCTTACCTTGCCTTTAGGCAAGCTAGTTTGACAGCAAGAAAAGAAATTTTGAATATAAAGCTCTTGAATATTTAAAATATAAAAGGTTCATTTAATACTATTCTAGTTTGAATACAGACATGCATAAAATGGTAGGACAGAATGCTCCTGAATGGAACACTAGTCAGCGAGTTTTCTGTAATATAAATTGAATCTTGCACAAATGCAAACAACTAACCATGTGCCTCAAATTTCTATTTCAAATAGAAAAATACATGCTTAAAATTATGTACTTATGTCCATTGCCCTATCGTGAAAAACACTGTAGCTGGGGTTTCTTGAAAACCTCTAAGATGTGAAGACTAAACCTAACAATAATTGTGAACTAACAGCTATGCCTTATAAAATGTTATAAAGCTTTTTATAACATTTAAATATTGTGATTGTACAGTTTATTTGGGTATCTTAGATCTGTGAGGGCAAAAATTGTTTCTGGAACTTAGAGGGATGAAATTAAATATTATCAGTAATTGGCTTCATGATCTTTGTTGCTGGGTCCATTTTAACACATGTATTTACCTAATTGACCATGAAATTTTCCACAGAGCCCAGGTTTGGCATGAGTTTTGCCAATTTAAAGCTGACTATGATGAATGGCTTTATCACACTACTTGCTCCTCTGCCTTCTGTAGAATAAGATACTGAACGTGTTTTTGTCAATAATGTGTTAATTTTTTTTTCTTTATGATTTTTTTCCATTTATTTTTATTAGTTGGAGGCTAATTACTTTACAATATTGTAGTGGTTTTTGCCAAACATTGACATGAATCAGCCATGGATTTACATGTGTTCCCCAATACAGTATACTAACGCATATATATGGAATTTAAAAAGATGCTAACAATAATTTTTAAATAAGCCAATTTTACTTTTAAAAAGTCAAAAACTTTTATATATGCATAAAGATACAGCTTAAAGATACTTTCCATATTTCTCACATATATCTAATATATATCTATCTCATATATATCTCAGCTATCTCATACATCTCATATGTGAGATATATAATATCTTACATATATCTAATTTTTTATTGTAGTTTTATTCAATATTATTTTCTAGTTTCTCATTAGCAATCAATCAGAGTAAAAGGGGAAGGAAGAAAGAAAGGAAAGTGTGTTTGAAAGAAAGAAAAGGAAAAAGATATGCCTTCCATTCAGTCAAAATAGTCTGTTAGATTTCTCAACAGAAGAGCAATTTACATATCAAGGAGTTCGACCTATAGTGTCAATTAAAAAAAAAAAAAGTCCCCTCTCATCTTTGAAATATGGACCAGCTCAGGGCATAACAAATGAAAGAACTATTCCCCAGGTCTTCATATTCCCCTGGAGGGAAGCAATAGGCAGCATGATTCCATCATAGCTCATATGGTAGGCACCCAGTAAAGCATTGTAGAGTCAGTATTTGGTTGTTTCTGTGAACACATGCTTCACAGCAGATTAAAACAGATTTTCTTACAATGGAAGAGCCCACATTAAAACAAATCAACAAAAACAAAAGTGTTCAAGCCAAAGTTACTGTACTACTTACAGTGTACATTTGTTTGGGGGTGGTGATAATGAAGGGTAAGAATCTGAGAGAACATACCAGCTGTTCTACAAGCCATTGCTTTTAAGTTCAGCAAATCACTTAATATGATGATGGATATACTTTAAATTCATGAAGTTCCTCTCTATAGAGTAGATTAATTCTTGAATTGCACAACAGGGAATTCAGAAAATCTTGCTATCAGCTCTTTACTGTTATATCTGAAAACAGAAATGCATGTGTGTAACAGCAGAGCAGATCCAGTTGTACAAGAACATGAAAAAAATAGAGATTGAGAGAGAAACTCTATATCAGAATGAAAATTTGGACAAGAAGGGACCATTATTATTTATTTCATTGGAGACTACCATTTTATTGTATTATTTTGAATAAACATTTAAGACCATGTGTGGGGGTTAAAAAAAAAAAAGAAACCTAGCACATTCTTAAAATATGGTAAAATCTACCAGATGCTGTTTTTAAAAGTCAGTGTGCATGCAGTATACCCTTTTTTTCACATGCATATTCTTGGAAATAGAACCATGTTGAACCAAACTTTCCTTTTCACTCTAACTCTCCAGAATATACATGTTTTTAATGTCTTATTCCTCAACCTGGTTTTAATTTGTCTTGTTTTTTGAGCACCATAAAACAGAAGCAGCCTCCGAAAAAGTTTTTACAGCTTGGTGTCAAATCAGTAGCATTGTTAGACTTGGTTCAATTTCTTTGGTTCAGGTATCTGATCACATGCTATTCTAATTTTCTGGGACATTGATAAACTATTCCAATTCCATGGAAGGAAGATCTCTGAAGCACTTACTATTTGCAGAGTCTCTGGCCATACAAAACAAAGGTGAATAAGGTATAGCCTCAGCTATGTAGACATGTTCACAGTTTAAATGTGTATACCAAATTGAACCATACCCCATAGTAGATCTTAAATAGATCTTGAACTCATTTGAATAGATTTGGAATCCATTTCTTTCTTAATGGGTGTTAGCTTAGAAAACAGAGCCTGAGTCAAAATTAATGTGAAGATGCTTCACTGAAGGATTCAATTCCAAAGCAATAAGAATGGAGGAAGGGGGGTGAGGGGAGTGAAGGCAATGGGAAGAAGGGAAAGCAGATGGAGCGTGGTGCGTTCCAGAGCTGGCTGCCACTTCACAAGGAGATGAAGCCAATTGCTCAGCCATGTGGGATGGGAGGGCTGTGTGGGATCATCCTGCTTCACAACAGTTTAGAGAAGAAGATGAGTGAAGGACATATCTACTGGTTCCTTCTGTTTCTTCTTTCTCACTCGTCACACTTTACACCCCAAAGGTTTACTTTCTTCTGCACATTTAGGCTGTGGGTCCTTCCCTCCTTAAGCAGCTGCTTCAGAAGCCAAATCCCACAGCATGTTGAGAGCACTGGCCCTCCTGGAGCTCCCACTCTGACATGTTCAGTGGAGAGTCCTGCTCTCATTCTGAGGGAGCTATGAGAGCTGGCAGTGACAGAAAAGCAGAAGATAGCAACAGGGACCAAGGTTCTTTTTTAAGCTAGTGGCAAAAGCTTGGGTGGCAAGTAAGGCCACCAAATTTGAGGAGACATATAAATTAGGTGTGGCTCAATATGCATTGCACTTGTGTGTGCTAAGTCACTTCAGCCATGTCCAACTCTGTGTGACCCTATGAACTGCAGCCTGCCAGGCTCCTCTGTCCATGGGATTCTCCAGACAAGAATACTGGAGTGGGTGGCCTTGTCCTCCTCCAGGGGATCTCCCCAACCCAGGTATCAAACCTGCTCTTCTATCTAACCTGCATGGGCAGGCAGGTTCTTTACCACTAGCACCACCTGGGAAGCCCTCAATATGAGTTGCTACCATCCTAATCTGAAAGCCCCATTAAAATCTCTTTGCTTTCAATCAACTCACAGTCTTTCCACTAGCTTTCTTACCATGTAAAACTCTTAACTTGACCTGTATGATCTGGTACCTGGCCATTCCCCTGGTGTCTCCTTGGGTTTGTTCTTTACATTCCAGACTCCAATGGCCTTCTTTTACTCCTCCAACACACTTGTACCTCAGCGCCTTTGCCATTACCCTGGGCTGAAATGCTCTCTCTTCCTCCTCTCGGAGCTCCTGACTAGTAGTTTAACCCCCTGTCCTACTCCTTCTGAAATCCTATCCTCAGGATCTAGTTTATCATAAAGTTAATGAAGATTAAGCTTCAGAGCCCTTACTTATACAAGCTACTTCCAAGGCCCTGTACCTGATTTTCTCTTTTTAATTTTTAAATCATTTTTATTTTCAAAGAAGTATCTGCAAATTGTATGAACTTCAGGCTCCTCCCCCAAATCTGGGCTACCTCTGCTCATGCCTTTTCTCCACAGAATTTAATAAAACTGGTGATTAACAGTGATGTCATTAGCTCTTCACCTGTCTTCTTATGACAAAGCAAACTGTCTCGGTGGAGAACTCATCTGGTTCACTATTTAACCCCCAATTCCAAACACAGGGCTTTGCTGGTCAGTGGACAGTCCTCAGATATTTGTTGAATGAAGCAAAATAAAGGCAAAGAGCTGATATACAGGCATGTGACAAACAAAAGGAAGCAATTACAGAGTCAATGGGAAGAATGAATTTGATTTGGCACCATGAACTTGAGGTGATTAAAATCCAAAGCTGAAGGTCAGGGATTTGATGGGTGATTGCCAAGGGTCTGACTATAACTGGTAGGCCAAGACAAGGAAGGTCCAGCCGAGAGGCATAGGTGTCAAAACCAGGTGACCATACTATTCCTAGCAGAGAGTCCAAATAAACCACTTTGAAGCCAGGTTCCTTTCATTTTTGTTTTTTTAATTAGGATCTGGACTAGCAGTATTTCATAAAATTAAATAGATGTTGAAGTTAGGAAATCTCAACTAGTCTGAGATACAAAGCAGACAGAGGTACATGATAGGAGCACGTAGGACCAGTTGGATGTAAGTCCCTGAACACTAACAGTCAGCAGGACGGAACAGAATCAGGAAAGATAGATGTCTACTTGGAAATGAGAGATAGTCACAGACGTAGTGCCCAGTGGGGCCCAAGCCAATCTAGTGTTTACTTGTC